TTAGATCCGATCATTGGATCATAAAAAAATTAACAGTACTCCTAAATTTGTATATAAGAATTGAAGTCGGTTGTATTTTTTGCTTAAAAATTACTTGTTTAATATAAAGTTCTATAAACACAAAATGCGCCCAACTTTCAAAAGTAATAAAAAATGTTAAAAAAGAGTTTTAATCAATGTTCATTTCCTCGATTTCTTGCTTCTGGTGTTCGATGGAGGAGATGGTGTTTTTTCACGATTTCCAAATTTTTTTAATATTTCGAATACCGACTGAATTTGTATTTTTATGATGTAGCTCATTTTGATGGAACGAATCCGAAGTTGGCAAATTAAATCTTCGAATCCTTGTTAAGTACATATCAGTGATAAATTCTTTTAGGCTGTAATGCTCCTATGCATGTTTATTTCTTCAAGATAATTCACAGCAAAAGTAAAGTGCTTTTTTCAAGCAACAGAAATAATAAAAAAATATTTCTTGCGATTTTTCTTGAGAGCTGGACACTAATAGCGTTTTCTTTTCTCGAAAAAAGGCTGCACTTATTCTGCCTTGAGTTAGCGCTGTCAAATTTTCATGTTCTTTTCTCAGCCCTTTCACAAGGCCTCGTGTTCTTTTCTCAGCAGGTTGCGCTCTGATCCGGCAAAAGTGCTGCCTTTTCAGCCCTCAAATAAACGTGAGTGGGAGAGTTGCACGGTTGATTTTTAATTTACGCTTGTAAAATTACAATTATTTTCCGTATCAGAAATAAGTATTTGCTTTAAAATTACTAAAGACTTACAAGCCATGTGAATAATTCAGCTTTATTAAGTTCTATAAATAAATTGTGATGGAGTAGCATAATTTCTGTTTCATTCTCATATAAAAACGCAACATTTTCTGAGGTTTCAGGGCAATGCAAAACAAGAGCTCCCACATAAAAGGGCAGAACTTTTTTTGAGAAAAGAAAACGCTATAAGCTTTAAGACACAGTTTGTATATGAGGTTGTTGGCCTTAGGGGGATTGAACCCCAAAACCCACCCCTTGTGTGCGCTAATGTCGTGAAGGTTAAAGTGGTCAGACAGATACTCGCCATCCTGACTCATTTCATAAATCTCTTCTCTCAGACGTCTCTGCATGAGAAATGGCGCGACTGATGCCTTTCACGGCCATGATGCTTAATCAGTATTTAGTGATAACTCCTAGACACTTGATCTATGAATGCAAAATTGAAATCAATTTTAAAATTTCCATATGTATGTATGTATGTACATAAATTGTGTACCCAGTAGAACTTGGGATCATCGTTCGATAGCTCGGTGAGTACTCCCTTGCGAGTTGACGACGAATCCCGATTGCTCCTTATACTTCTGTGTATAAGCGTGTTGTTCTACAAAATACCTCCTCATGACGAAAGAGGAGACTACTTCAACAAATGTATATGGCTGCTAATTTGTGTTATTTATGTTATAAATAAAGAGTAAAAAAATTTACGGCCGACAACTTGTCGAGTCGTTTTTGCCTCGTAACCTCATAAACCTCGTAAATAAACCGATTTTCCATATAAAATTAAATAATTTTGCGCGGTTTACATTAGAGTCCGACCGATTCCCAATTTTTGGCCGATGCCGATGACGTTTAATCGGCCGGAGGGCAAAGAATCGGCCGATGCCGGTGCCGATTCCATAAAAAAAACTACCTGAATATAAATTCATTCAAGAACAAATGCTTTTAATAAATTTTAATAGTAACAAAAGAAAAACATAAACATATAACTAAATAAACTTACTTAATCATTCAAGAATCTATTTACTTATTTGTGTACATACATAAATATCTTAAAAAATAGTGTATAGCTTATACATATCACTGCAATACTTTGTTCCATAGTCTTTTCGTTATTCAATGTAAAATAAATAGTTCATTCGAAATTACATTTCCTAGTTGTACTCATAATAGTAAAAATATGCAGCTTCTGATGACTATAAATGTGTTTTCAGTACAATTTGTTTTCAAACAGTAACCGCAGATTTTAAAATAATGATGAAAGTATTGTTACAACGTAAATAATTTTACAATCCGGTGAAAACAACCCGAAATATTCAGGAATTCAGCGATCAATTCAAAGATAATTGTAACAATATATACAGTGACGAAAATATAAATACGCAAGAGACTTTTTAGCATTCTTTGGCTATTTCCCTTTCGTTTATTTATTGTTTATTACTTTTTTATGAAAGTGTGGCTCGTTATCTAACAAAAACCATGTAAACAAAAATTTCCAACCTTGTACAAAAATTAGCAAAATTCAACAGCTTTTTAATTAGATTTTCTAGAAACATTCTGAGTATGCAGCTTTTACAGCCCATTCAATTTTATTATACGAAGTGAAGTTTTAAGTAGCTAGGACTTTACGTTGATGTTTGGCAACTTTTTTGTGGAAAGTGTTGCTGATTTTCTCCATAAAAAAAATTTCGTACATACTTTGTATGGAAGAAAATGCGTGAACAAAAAATTGTCAAAAGCGACGATAAGCCCTCTATTATACAAAAAATAAAAAAGCTACACACTCAAAAAAGTTCTATAAAATCTGATTTATCAGTTTCAAACTTTGATGAACATTTGTTAAAATTTGTCGAATTTTTATAAATGTTCTGCAAAGTTTGAAATTTTTTTTTGAAATAAACATTTTTTAAACAAAGAAAAATAGCCAAAACTTGCTAAATGTGTCTTCCCTATTTACATTATCGCCACCGTACATCATAAACACGAAACATGAGAACACATTTATGACAGGAAGACTCAGATGCATTAATATTTTAAGATTTAAGGGAATTAAAAAAGTAAAAAATAAATAACATGGAATGAAGTGCCAAAAAAGTAAAAAGAATCGGCTAAGAATCGGCCAAAAACGGCCAGTTGTGCCATTCTTTTCTAAGTCGGACTGATTTCGTAAAAAAATAATGTCATGTCTCCGATTCGCTTCATATATTTTTTGTGGCTTCTATACATGAAATAAGCGAACACGTATTTTTTTTAATTTTTTTTTTCGGAGATATGATCTATCAATGTTTGGATTTTTTCGTGATTCTGACCAATCATGTACTTATTCAAATCGTTATATCTCGGGTTCTTCTCTTCGTAGAGACTTCATGTTAACGTTGTTTCAAAACCAAAGAAACGGGCTTAACGTTCCTATATATCAGATAGTCATGACTAATGTGACCAACCGTACTTCTTTCGGAAGTACAGTACTTCTTTTTTAACTCTTGTACTTCGTACTTCGAAGTACAGTCAAATATACTTCTTTGTAATATTTTGTACTTCAGGTCCTTTAGTTCTCCGATTTTCTTGACGATCGTCACATAATTCGTTCAAACCATTAAAGTCGCCGGGACCGATGGCATCATACTTGCGAACTGGGTACATCTCTAAGGCTTGGAGGGTAGTCAGTGTTGCATTCATCCCGAAGGCCGGAAAAGGATCTCATGATTTTAAGCCATCAGTCTGTCTTCGTTTTTGCTAAAATCGATAGGGAGTTGTATAGAACTGTACATAAGAAACGCGATTCCTCGTGACTATCTTTCAAGAGCTCAACATGCGTATTGCAAGGTCGGTGGATACCACCCTGCACACATTGCTAAAGTGGTCAAGGGAAGCCTTCACGTAGTAGGGGCCTTCCTCGATATCGAGGGAGCCTTCAACAATATCACTCCAGAGGCAATAGTCAAGTCTATTCATAATCTGGGGGTTGAAACCAAACTAATAAGGCTTATCTACAGCTGACTTTGTGACAGAACTGTCGCGCCGAAGTGGGGGAGCGCCTGCACTCAGTGCAGAGACAAAATGGGCCCTCCGCAAGGTGGTGTTCTCCCTCCCCTGCTCTACGTTGCGGTTGTAAACGACCTTCTAGAGGAACTGGAAAAAGTTGGATGTCGGGTGATCTTCTATGTAGATTACGTGGATATTTTGGTTAACTGACGATTTCTATAACCCTTTTTTTCTGCCTCCTGGCTGATGCAGGTAACTAGGTGGGCGATCAAGAGCGGCCTCGCAGTAAATCCCAGCAAAACGGAATTGGTCTTGTTTACCAGGAAGTACAAGATACTCGTTGTGGCCCTTCCCTCGAGTGGGGTTGTTCGTCTGCGGCTCTCAGACAGGGTCAAGTAATTAGGCGTGCTCCTGGATAGGAAGCTGTCGTGGAGGCCTGACATTGAGGAAAGGGTAAAAAAGACATCGGTTGTCTTGTACTGCTGTAGGGGAGCTATCGGTAAAAGGTAATTTATAAGCTCTCTGGAACCAGATTTAAGCTTATCTTGTTTCACGGAGCCCTTGTCTGGTGGAACCCGCTAGAGAAAACTACACTTGTAAATTAGGAATTAGTGGAGCATTAGGAACCACAGCTATGCTGCTTAACGTCATGTTGAACACGGATCTGAGGATATTGCAGACAAAATTTTAGCAGCACGGACTGCTAGTAGGCTAAGGGAAACCGGGTGGTAACACTCTGGATTTCTGGGGGGCTTTGACTTCGCCCTGAACACATAGATTACAACAGAATGAATTACAACACAATGAATCCCAGAAGCTCCTTCTCTACCTGTATTCCCTCAAAACAGGACTGGGTAGGGCGGGCTTACTAAGGATTCCGGACTTCTGCAGTGTCTTTCAGGTGGAAATACATAGCTGCTATCAAGGAAGAGGTAGACTCACTGCTAAAGGGTATAATGGTGCTTTCCCAACTAGCACCAAAGTAACAGAAACGGAGACGGAAACCTATAGCGAGTTACTATTACGTAACCTTCACTAAAGGTGCGACTTAGATGTACAAGTAACTTTATTTGACATATTTCCAGTAGCTGCGAGGTAGTTTCTACCAATTGTGATTACTTTAAAATTATGTGACTTTTAAGTAGCATTACCGGTATTGCGGAAGTCGTTGCTACCAGTAAGCTAACCATAAAGTTTTTAGATCTTGAAAGTTGCAAATAGCAAGGGCGGCGACTAACCCACGTTACTGAAATGCAACTGCAAATCTGCAGCTACTTTTAGGCAACTTTGGTAGTTTTCGCGACGTTGTGGGGTCCTTAGTTTCTTCTTCATATCCATGGAACTTGTAAGTCATATCTGTGAGTGATAAGGTGTCCGCTACCTGCTGACCAAAACCTCACTGTCGATTGCTACTGCAGAGTCCGTGGCACCTCTTAAATTCACCATGAAGTAAATTGCACGATCAAGTCTCACAAACTTCCATGCTGTTCCGCATTGTGTGTTGGTGCGTTCCTATAAGGTTAGTGATGTGTTGTTCAGGAAAATAATGGCGTCTGTTGGCACATTTAAACACAAAGAAAAAAAATACCGGCATTCAACGACTTTTTACAGAAAATTAAAAGTCTTAAAGGCAAATGCCGTTGACAGTGGCGTTGTGAAACAATATTTTGGCGGTGGAAATAAACCATCAAAAATACAAAACAATGTAAGCATCAGGTTGCTTCTATCAACAGAGCAATTGAATGAGTCCAGTAGCTCCGAAAACTATTCAAAAATAAAAGATAAAGTAAATAGTGATGATGACTGTGGTAATGATTTTGAGGAGTCATGCGTGCCGGAAGATGAATATGACACTACTCTTTGTGAGTATGATGAAGAGTACAACTCTATTATTTCACAAACTTCGTTAGTTCAACAACTAAGGGCATGGTATCATTATCATAGAATAACTCATAGCTCGCTTAACCATCTATTGCGTGTGTTAAAATCAAATGGTATGAAATGCTGACCAACTGATAGCAGAACATTAATGAAAACGCCAAGATTGGTACATATTGAAAAAATGCGAAATGGTCAACTTTGGTATAATGGAATAAAAAAATTGTTTGAATGCAGTATTTTTTGATATTGATAGATCCGTAACGCTTCCAGTAGTTTTTAACGTTGACGGCCTTCCACCGTTTAACGCTTCACCATTACAATTTTGGCCAATTTTATTTAGAATCGATAATATGACATACATTAAGCCAATGGCTATAGCAATTTATATTGGCGACACAAAGCCACCTTTAAAAGAATACTTCAGACAATTTGTTGATGAGTTGAATGATATTTTGCATCGTGGTCTTTGTATTAATGGGCATCAGATAAAACTCATTATTAGATATTTCGTATGCGACACCCCAGCCAGAAATTTTATTAAAGGTAAATGTGTAATTTATTTATAATCCTCAAATTAATTCATTTATATAATTACTTTTTTAGGTACAGTTGGATTTAATGCAGCTCATGGCTGTATAAAATGTACAGTCGTTGGTGAATTTGACAAAAAAGGAAGGCACATGAGCTTTCCAAGAATAGATTGCCCTCTAAGAACAGATGAAAGTTTTCGTAATAAAACCGATCAAGACCACCACAAAGACGATTCACCCTTATTGGAACTGCCCATTAATATCGTGGAAGATGTTATTATTGCGGACTCCTTACATCTTTTTTTTTTTTACTATGTTAATTGGACCTGCAAATCGTTGAAAATACGAACGTTTCCTCTGACTCTGTGTCAATGCACTGTGTTAGCTGTTTCTCAATTGCCAAAGCGTCTCCAAATGTAAGAATTCCCGAGAATTTAAGGACACAGGAGTACTCCACCCATCCCTCTTCAGGTACGCTAGCAGCATTCGATCTCAAGTTTTCCCTTGGGGAATGGCTCAAATGTTCTGGCCACAACAGAACTCCATTATTTTCCCATTGATGGGGAACAACAGAGAAATAAATTCCTTTTTTTTCCCACGTTGAAACAATTTTAAAAGAATCCATGCCTTCGAATAAAAAGAACGTTACTAAAATCAGTGTTTTAATCGGTATATTTTTTATCAATAAGTCTGTACTTACCCTTTCTTTGTTATTTTTAATCCACAATAGCGCGAGCACGTGCACACAAGCACACGAAGTACCTACAACTGAAGTAACATTTTTGTTAGACAAAGATAGAAGTTAAAGTTCCAGATGGAACTATGAAGTGGCAGCGGAAACTTTGCTGCGACTTTAAAGTGACGCTATAGTGCCATTCGTTACCTTGCAGTAAACATTACTTTAAAGTCACACATTTTCAGTTGCCGTCACTATAGCCAAGTATAAATTACTTCGAAGTTGTGCTTTTTGGTGAGGGCGACTTCAAAGTTATTTTTATTTTAAAATACGCAATTTTTCTAGACAAATTTTACGCCTACATTAAATAAATAAAATAAAATACAATAATTTACCATATTTTATGCACCAATTTAATGAAATTAAAGCATAATAATTATTTCAAGTAGTAAAGGACAACAAAAAAAGCTTTTTTACATCTACCATGCAATTTTATTTTATATTGTTATACATTTTCAAGACAATATTTTAATAAAATATGAAAATTTGAATGGCGCATCGTCAAATTTCGACCTATCACCATCATGTTTGACAATAAATTCCCATGCGTTTTAGTTTTTGTACGCAGGCTATCCAAAAGGAAAAGATTATTATTGCCCTCATATTATAATATATTTTTAGGTTCTTAAAGAAATGAACAAAGTTTTATTCATGTATGTATGCAATGAAACAAATACATATGTATAACAAAATAAATTGCAAGACAAAGCAATCAAATAAAATTAAAAAGAGAGGTATAGATGTAAGGTGTCCTAAAAGTTGCATCTACTACGTTGCGACATCGCTACTACGTAACCATAATGTCAATGGAACATTTCCGGTTAGCGTATGGGAACGTCGCTTTAACGTAGCGGTTACCGAAAAATTATTCCCCATTTTGGTCGTAAGCACGTAATAGGAAGATTCCTATTACGTGCCCATCACTAGTGGCAAGGCACTTTAAAGTTACAACAATCGTCGCAGCTCCGTTCCAGCTACTATTTGTGATAGTTGGGTTAGAAATCGGTAAAAGAATATTTGACTTCTTTTTCCATCGCGTCAGAGAGGTACTTTTTCTAGTTTAGGTGCCGGGCAGTGTTGGTCTTTTCCGACCAAATTTGGTCGATTATTATTCATTTGGTAGGTTGGTCGGCAAAGTAAGATTTCGGTCGGATAGTTGAATTAAGTTTTTAAATTCTGAATTATAAAAATATATATTTCAAACATCATTTTGCATATAAATATTTGCCAATTGTACCTTTTAAACATTTGCCAATCCTGCCTTTAAAAATGAGAAAGCTAATTGGTTTGGCCACTGATGGAGCCAATGTTATGGTTGGAGACTTGGGCGTGCTGACAGCATTATTGGATGCAGTGCAGAAACCGATTTATTTTATATAAATTGCACATGCTACACACTTCACCTCTGCTCAACCTACACTTGTAAAAAATTACCGAAAAGCATTGAGATACTGTGCCGCAACATATATAGTTTCTTTTCCCACAGTCCAAAGAAGATACATGAACTGAAGGAATTTCAGGACTACTGTTCGGTAAAACCCCACGAAATCTTGGGCATATCTCAAAACGATGGTTTTCACTAGGAAGCGTTGTGTTAAGAATAGTTGAGCAGTGAGATAGTTTGAAACTTTATTTTATTTTCTGCTTTTACGAAGTAAACGGTATGCGATTTTCAGACCTAGCAGAAGACATGTGTTGCTCTTTGCTTCGAATGCTCTTTTATTTCTGTAGTATACTCCCATAATTAACAATCTTAACAAAGAGTTCCAAGCTAAAAGCTCTCGTTTGCCATACTTATATGCAACTATCAAAGCATATTATCTCTTAATTTTGAGTAAAAATGATGCGATCAATAACACAATAATGTTGATTTTAAAAATGAAAATAAACATGTTAAAATATCTGACATTTTTGTTGGAACGAAAGTTGAGATGTTTATGAAAAGCAATGTCAATTGTTCTCGAATCCTTGAAGTTAAAACCAATATACTAAAGTTTTACATAGAGTTTTTGGACCAAATAAATTTAAGATTTGATTCCAAGCGTGAAGATACAAAACTTTTACAAATAATGACACCACCTAAGGTAGTTTCTAAAGAAGATTTACCAATTTTACCTCTTTTGTTAAGTTTCCCCATCTCATAGATTGCGATCCTGATATAATAACCACGCAGTGAATTTATTAAGGCTAAGTGAGCTTGATATTTCCAGCGATCAGGATATTGATATGTTTTGGGAAAAAGTTTATTCTATTAAAAATGGAATTAATGAAAATAGCTTCATGCATCTCGCCAATTTTGTTTTTAATATAATTTCATTACCACATTTTGTTAAAAATTAAACTAAGAAATAAACTTAAGATTGACAATATCTTTCAATAATGTTATGCAAGGAACTTGTAAACAAAAATTACCCGCACTATGTGTAGTCAGCTGCTAAAGATTTGCATGTGTAATTAAATGATTTAAATTTACTTTTAAGCAATTAAATTTATTGGTACATAACATGTACATATGTACGTGTATATAATGTACGTGTATATAATTCATACAACCAAGTTCTGTAACACTCAGTCAATTAGCATCGATCATATTCTAAATTCGTGCCCCACCTTTCAACAAAATAGGCAGTACTACTTCTCCAACAAATCGGCTATAGACTTATTAAATGATGCTAACAAAGATAACATCCAAATAATCTTAAATTTTTTAAAAACTAGTAATTTGTACGATGAAATTTAATACTTAAATACACACAGATACACATAAACACATACACCCAACTCGTATACATGGGCGTAGCCAGGTAGGGGCAGGGGCCCGAGCCCTCCCCTCCCTAACTTCCAAATTTTTACCTAGATATTAAAAAATAGTACCAGGAAATGCTTGTTCGATAATTTCGTTTACTTCTTAAGTAATTACAGCAGATGGCAGAAAACACATAGCGCACATAGATTTCTATAACAAAAATATCATATTAGGGGCTGCTAATACATATATCTATTTTAAATTATAGTTAAATCATTAGTCATACTTAACTACAGAAAAATTACACAGAATTTTCTGTAGTTAACTTTAACTAATGATTTAACTATACTTTAAAATAGAAAAGTTACCGCCCTTTAATGATTTTTTTATTTATTACACGGTGTGACAAAACAAAACCAAGTAATATATTCAGCATAAATGAATATACCAGCATAAAAAATGTGCATACTCAAAATGTTCAACACGTCCTCATATTTATACAAGGATACATATGGGTCATTCCATACAATATTTACACCTCAATATTTTTTTTTTGATGAAATATATTTTTTTACATTCTTTATCGAAAAAAGAAGACACCTATTCCCGAAATTTTTTACTCACGAGAAAGTATTTTTTTTTCAATTGTTTGCAGTTAATAAACTATTTGTCGGAGAAAATCAGTCAAGTCGCGTTTAAATAGCGGCAAATCAGCTGCACTTGATAGTAGTTGATTGAATAAGGAAAAGTACCAGTTGACCGAGCTTTGCCCGGAGTCCATATACTTTTTATAGTTTTCAAGATTTGGATAGCTTTAAAAAAATATTTTGGAAATTAAAAAAAAAAAATTGGATTTCGTTATCTATTAAGTAAATTTCTCACTTCCAAATTTGGGTGGCAACCCTATTCCGAAATATGCTGGAATGAATGGTATGTACATATCTTGAGCGTATACATATGTACTTTATATACTTAAAAAACAAATGCCGAATGCAATTAACAAAAAAAAAATTTTATTACATAGAAGCGTGGCATCCCTGTTGGAAAATATTTTCTGACCAAAGTTCTCAACAATACCTTTCATTTGATATACATATTGCGATGTTTTCAATAAATTGTTTAGAATCGAAAATAAGTGGCAACCTTACACTATTGTCTTAAGGGATAACATTTTGTATATAGGGAAGGCATTGTTTAAGAACCTTTTCTTTGTACCCATGAATAGTAATATTTTACCTTTTTTTCTACAAAAAATTAAATAAATATGCGATTCAAATTAGGTGACAACCCTATTTAAAATATTTTTGAATTAGGTATCTTTAAAATACCTTGCAATCGATACCCATATTATGATGTTGTAATTAATTTGTAACTAATTTCGAATAGGTGGCAACCTTATACGGGTCTTCTCGGAGATAGCGCCTATTCAGATAACCTTAAAATCCAAAACATTATCTGTGTACAAAATTTTATCGAAATCGTTAGAGCCGTTTACGAGAACGCTATGGATATATATATATACATATATACAAGAATTGCTCGTTTTATGTAATAAGATGAGTTAGCAACAAGAGTTTACGGGATGTACATAGCTCAGTGGTTAACGCTTCTGACTTTGAACATCGATTACGCAGGTCTAGAAAAAAGAAGTCTGATGAGGAGATGTGGTGATCTCCGAAATAGCTGATATAACTTCTACCGCTTAGACTTTGTTGCTTTTTAAATTTTTCCAAATAAACAATCGTGGTACAAAGCTCAATAAAAAATATTAAAAATAAAATGTTAATAAGCCACAATAACATTGACAAATACATAGTTTAGGAAGAGCCTGCCTGAAACTATACAAAAAAGCAAATAAGCAAATGGATGTATAGAATTGACAACAACAACCACGCTGTCGAGTTTAAATAGCGGCAAATCAGCTGCACTTGATAGTAGTTGGTTGAATAAGGAAANCTTTGCATTCCCTGAAATGAAGCAAAGAAGCGAAACAAATAAAATGTTGGAGGACATTCTACTTTGCATTCCCTGAAATGCAGTAAAGAAGCGAAACAAATAAAATATTGTAGGACATTATACTTTGCTTTCCCGGAAATGAAGCAAAGAAACGAATTAAAAAGGAAATATTATAGGACATTCTACTTTGCATTCCCCGAAATGAAACAAAGAAGCGAAATAAATAAAATATTGTAGGACATTCTACTTTGCAATACTAGCAGTGCATAAAAGAAGCGAAAAAATTCGAAGGCATTATAACGCTATGCCTTCTAGGACACGTTACCACTAAAAGCGATTACCCATTTTTTGCTGGGAAGCCATAATAACATTGACAAAGAAAATCAGTTAAGGTATCAAAAGGTGCGTAATTATCTTGGCTTTCCTTGAGAATGTGAGATAAGTTAAAATAAAAAAAATTTTGCATTAAAAAATCGCATTTTTATTTTTTTATTTTTTCATTGTTATAATTCATCATGTTTGATTTTTATTTTTTTCAACCTGAATTTTTATTTTTTTTATTCAGGTTGAAAAAAATAAAAATGAAACGTGAAGTTAATAAAAAAAAGA